TGACATCAAAATTTTTCGAAATTTTTCATCAAAAAAAGTCATATCCCATGTAAATTTTCGGATATAAAATTACATGGGATATGATTTTTTTTGGACGTAAATTTTCGATTGTAAAATTTCTCCCAACTTCTCTGAAAGTTCGATTGTGCCCCCTAACTTTTATGGTCTGCATCCGCCCCTGCACTAACTCATATCGAAAAAACGAACAATTGTACAAGTTAAGACATGAAATCATAAATTTGGACTCCATGCAAACAGAGAATATGATCGTTCTAAATGCCAATATTTGAATCTTAAATTGAACCCTAAAAATCTAAACCCTAATCTCTCTTCACCGACGACGGTTGACACTACCGGTGGCAGTGGGGAAAAACTACTGGGGCTCACACAGATAATTCGAAAGCTCAGTTCACATAATAGTAGTTACAAACTAAATAGTAAATTCTCTTATGCCATCATCTTAGTATTGAAATTAGAAGGAAAAATACGAGAAACATTGATGACGGACATGGACCTGGACGACCTGTTGGTTGTCCTGACGCAGGGACCATCTCGACCCTCTCGGTTCATGCCAAAGGGCTCCAAGTTCAAACCCAAACCCAAACCCAAAAATGAACCATCTCAATTTGATTCAGTCGAATTATTACCAAAGGAATCTGATTCCAAGGAAATACGTGGAAAGGGCCCATTTACTACCCCATATTTCCACTTTGGCCTTTGATATAGAATTAAAAAAAATGCAAAAAAGTTAAAATATAACTTTACACAACAAAACGTCAAAAATACCCCAACTCTCTCACAGCCAAACCGATCGCCTCTCACACCAAAAATCGACGCCGACACTGACCGCCCAAACTGACCGACGAAACCACCAAAAAAGTCTACGAAACCAACCACGAAGTCACCAGCGCCGACAACCACATAGAAAACCTCGTCACTGGCAAAAGAGAAGATTAGTTTTTGAGATTAAAATCGGGTTTTTTCATATAAGGAATTAGAATGATTTTTACATTTTCTTAACAAGAATTAAAAATATTCGGCTTTTAACAGGAATTAAAAAAAAAAAGAAAGTGAAATAGCCAAAACAATCGACTGTTTGCTGGCTATTTAAATAGCCCACCGGATGTTTAAACCGCCGACCGGATGTTTCTCATCAATCCATTTCGTCTAAAAGATTCAGATGAATTTTTTTCTCGTTCATGTTTAAAAAAATATATAGATCTGTTAAATTTTTTTATCTACATTAACTAT